GAGAATCTTAAAAAAAAAAAAACAAATAAATAAAATAAAATGGGCAAGGCCACTAACTATGCCTGACAATTAGACTGTCATACTTTTTTAACATATTGGCATACTTCCAAACATAAATGACATACTTTAAAAACCAACATTATTAAAAGTATGACATTTTATTGCCTAAATATGCATTTTTTTGAATAAAATTATGATAAGTCGACCCGGCTAACGATTATACTCTCTCACACAAGAATTTATAATTTTTTATATTTTAACCTTTAAAAAAAATATCTATATTTTTCTGTTGCTCATTGTGTCTTAACAGATGGAATATATAGTAATTTTAGCATTTGGTGGCCATGTTATTGGGATCCCTCTCCGCATGAGCAGTTAGCTACATTGGCCAAAGTTTTCACATTTATAAATTTCAGTTTGACCATATGCTTAGCTGTTACTGCAATTTTATTCAATCAAGGCAAATTTATACTACTTTATACCTTTTTTTTTACTGTTTCATATCTCAGTCTTAGTGTTCAAAGTGTGACACTTTTAAGGTCCCATTTATGGTCTATTATTAAAATATTATCATCCTCATCCCTTTCACAGAAAGAGATTTTGTTTTACATTACCATCTAATTCTTTTGGTTTGATAATAACAATATGTAGTAGTGGATTCTGCATCTAGTAAACCGAAGGCTTTATTCTCCAGAATTTTAAGACTTAATTGCAATTTAGGTGCGCCATATTAGTGTCATAATTGAGATGATAATGGGTGTTTGCCATGATAGAATGGAAATATGTATACCGCTAGTAAGAATTTGACAAAATTGGTGTGAAATTTACAAATGTTCATGAAGGTACATTTTTCATTTTTGCACTCAAGTTATATATTATTATATAATGAGTCAGTAAACGAACTCGACATTGGCTCCTCTGTCAATATTAATGAGTCAAGCTATATATTATTATATAATGAGTCAGTAAACGAGCTCGATATTAGCTCGTCGATCAATATCAATGAGTTAAGCTATAGACTATTATATAAAAATCTTAAAATATTTGAGTTATAACTAGCCGAATTTACAAACTAACTCATTTATTTTAAAAGCTCCATGTGGCACCCTCACTTGATTTTTTATTTTTATTTTCTTAAGTTTCCCATGTAAAGTACAAAAGTTTGGTATCTATTAAAGTAATATTTTACATGAAAAAACTCCATATGTAACATGTTTGACTAGTCAGGCCAACCACGGGTTGTAGGACCCGGGCTCGGGCCACGTCCCTCATTTGAGATCCCAAAAACAGCACGACATGAAATCATTAACCGAGAAAACAATACGAACGACGTCGTTTTATTACGGATCCACGCATGCATATGTCCTTTTCTTAAAGACGAGTCAGTAGTTCATTATATTATGATGGGTTTTTGTACACTTACGTAGAGATTTTTGATACATGGTGTGTGTTGTAAATACATACATGAAGTAATTTTAGAATTTTACATATTATACTAATTTGAAATTCATATTTTTTATAAGGACAAACTAATTATACCAAAGTTTTTAATTGCACTTTACGTGAAAATAACAGTTTTATTTTGTTTTCTATGATGGGGATTATTATATGCATATATAAATAGTTGTATACTTCTCTATATGTACTAAAATTTATTACCTATACCTCGTAAATGATCTTATTGGATTATACTACTAAAAATGCAGACAACTACAACACGGTGAAAACTGGCCAAAAACTGTAGATCCATTCAAATTCACAACTTAATTCACAAATAATTTTCATCTAAAATTCACAACCCAATTTAACAGAGGGAAAATAAAATAAATTAACAAATATTATTAAAAAAATATATATATAAATATTTGATCCCCTTAAATCCCCTCACCTCCTCTATTGTTCATCTCAAAAACAATTACATAAAAACCGAACCCTCTCTTTTTTTTTTTTCACAAGAAATTGCCCCTTCTTTAAATTATGGGGCTTCTTTGTCACCTCTAAACCATAAAGTCCTTGTATTATAACAGTTCATTATTCATAAACAGTAGCAACTATTTCTCATGAGATCTCTCCGTTTTCTCCTTGAACATCCTCTTCTTGTTCAAGGACATGTACCAAAAACCAATTTTGGAATTTTCAGGGGTGTGAATTAAATAAAAAAACAATTTAAACATTTTTACTCGAGTTTCATGCTTCACCCCCCAAAATCCGTCTTCTCGTCCAATTTCCTCCGTTTCTTGTTCGGATTAGCCTCCGAAGGAACTCTTTTTCTTTCATCACTTTTATAGCTCAAACAAGCCACATCTAAGACTCCGTTTGGACTATGGCAAATGGATAACGATAAAATCGAACCATTAGCCAAATTTACAGCTTTAGTAGTTCTACTATCAGAAGGATAAGTAGTCCCACTCGTTGATATCAGGTCTTGAATCAGTTCAAGACACTTCAAGACTCTGCCCTGCAAATAAACCCCACAAAATAAATTTAGCAAAAAACACTTACTTTTAAAGAAACAATTGCTTAAGAAGAACCAAGTAGCTCAGAACAATAAAGTATTACATAATGATAAGTTGCAATGAAAGAAACAGAACTGAGTTGCTAAAAAGCATAAAGATGATATTTATGATATACATAGCAAGAAGGAAATTGTCTTGTCTTATGATTATATATTAGTGGGACCAAATTAAAAAAAAAAAAAAATGCTAGTACCTTCTCTATTATGAGAAAACCAGACAAAACCTTATCAAGGTCCATGGCTTGTTCGCCCAAAACATACGAAGCCACTGCTGCTGCTATTTCAGAAGGTTTGAACTCCAAGAAATCAATACCTGCATTCAATTTTCCAACCAATACTCTGAATTCAAAGTTCTATCATGTTTTAAGACTATTGACCATACCATACATCAAATTATTGCAATCTCAAAATATATGATGATGTATATGAGTAATAAAAATGAGACCTTTAATTGTGTTCAGGATGATCTGAATTGATCTTGTGATCAACAGCTCTGATGGGATTTCAACATCAGAGCCACTCATCTTTCTATGAAAATACTCGATGAAGTTGAATGGTGTGTAAGGTTTAATGTTCCACTTCAAGTAGTTGAGCACCAAAAGCTCCATTCTTTGTACGGTTTTTGCTTCAAACAAGAACTTTGGCTCCCCAGCCTGCCCACATATTACAAACAAATAGCCCATCAACACAAATTCAAGAAATAATTAGTTATAACTATAGTTAATTTGCCAAGTATTTGTAATTCTGAAGTATATCTGAAGTTTTAGTAACTATAGCTACTTTGCAAAGTTGATCATGAAGCCAATATGAAATAACAATGCTGTGAAAGTTACCTGTAAATCCACGGAGTTGGGCACGTTAACCTCGTCAAATTTTGCTGCTAGTGATAAACAAGCTACTGCTGCTAGCTGAACAACCCATGTTTTACCTCCCTATCGAATTGTCAATAATTACAATTTGTTAGCAAAAAATGAAACAATAAAACAGCATTGGATAGAACTAAGAAAAAGAATGCTTTTTGCAAATACCTGCCAATGTCAAATGCTAAACAAAATAATAAATTCATAAAACATTGTTTTACTCATTGTAGTGAACATACGGGCAGGTTATACACGGATAGGAACCGATCCAAGTAATTTGTGGCCAAATACAAACACAACTCCCCAAAATTGTGGTGGGTACAAGCCTGCACAAAAATGAATATGGCAAGTCAAAGATCAGAATTCATATTACAGAAGTGTTTAGCAATAGACTAATGGAGTAGATTGATAGCTTGTGGATGAAAATGCATTTCAATTAGATTGCCTAAGAAAACATTAATGAGATGCACATAAATACAAAAAATCTCCAGATTATTGAACACTGAATCTACTACACCCCATGTTTACATAGATGGGAAATCATTGATGACCAAAAAAATTCCCATTTGAGGAAATTATACTACAGGAACAGGATTAGCAAATCAAACTAAGAAAAAATAAAAGCACATAAAACGGAAACAAAAATCAACTCCAAAAATAATGCCGACCAAAACTGAATAAAATGTAAACTCCAATTTTTACAGTAGCAATCTATCAATCAGCACAAAGAAAGCAATAGAAAAACTCGATTTGATCAAAGATTCAAAGATAATCAAGAACCCAATTCAGATTAATCCAAAAAACACAGGCAGCGAACAACACTGAAAATGACAATTAATCAAAATAAATCCACCTTAATCATCCAATCAAGAGCTGTTCTCCTCAAACCCATATCCAACTCCCCAGTCCTCAATCTCATGAGATAATCGTCTCTGGGCATGTGGGCACTTTCTCTCTCTACCATCCAACGAATGCAATCTTCACTCAGGCACGGCCAAAGAATCAACGGCTCGGATTCTGATCCGCCGCTGCTCTTATCGCCATCGGTTAAGTGGCTCCGGTCATCGGAAGATTCCACTAAATCGCCGTCGTCGTCGTCAAGAAAGCACAAGTTTTTGGTTTCTTCATCACAGAGCAAGTCCGTTGGCCCATAGTCAAAGCCGTTTGATTCTTCCATTTCTGGGGAAGTTCAGAAACGAAAAGATATCGAATGAAAGCGCTTTCGCTGGGTATGGAAGTTATCAAAAACTCGTAAAGAACGGATTTTTTTGCTCTTTTCTGTGCATGTTAGAAGATGGGCATGATTTTTTCTGCCATGTCTGTGAGGGCCAGAGAGAGAGAAGTAAGGAGAGTGATGATAAGTGGGTGATAAAGATTAAAGAGAGTACTGTGTTTTAGAGAGGAGGAGAGAGAAGTGTTTGTTGAGTAGGGTGTGCTGTAGAGGAGGAGATTTATGTAGAAATGAACATTTGTCTTTAGGGTAAAGGTGGGGTTTTTCAGGGAGAGAGAAGACAATATTTTCTTGGGCAAAGGGGACAAAATATTATTTAATTTATATAATTACAATTTATAAATTTATATAAAAATACATACATACACCACGCGAACATACGTACAACGGTACGCACATAAANCCCATTCACACAAAAAAAAAAAAAAAAATTACTTTGCAAACATCGAGTATTGATTTTTATTGTAGGTTTTTTTTTCACTTATATAGCCTAAATAAAATATTTTGTCGCTGAGCAGTTGAACTCATAGTGCATTTTGACCCTTCAGTGGCAAAGGTAATAATAACAGGCATATATATATTCCAATTTGCAATAATATTCATAAAGTTGGTCAATAATTAAAATATATGTATATTCCGATTTATTAAAAAGTTAATATTATTGGGGATTTTGTATCATTAAGTTCATCTCTAAATCAGCACTTCATAAAAACGAAATTCACAATCTTCTCTTTGTTTAAATGCGGATTCACCAGCAATGCCACGAAATTTGAGTAATAAATTATGTACCAAGAAAAGGAAGGGGAAAAAATCATATAAAATGTTACAATTAAGATATGTCCGTGATTTCTGTAATAATGACACAGCAAACCAACGTATTTATAAGTAAAAAATCTCAAGTTTAGCTTTACTTGAAAGGTATCAAGTTTAGTTTATTCATAAATTTAGTAGATATCGATATTCATGGTTGTAAAAATTTCTCAAAATGATGCTGATTATAATGGCATTAGTATTATTTTACCTGTGCACGTATACCAACGAAATCAATTTAATTAAATTAAGTATTAAATAAAATATAAATTCAATAATATAAAAAAATGAGTTATTATCGAATATAAAAGTCGAGCATGTTTGTTTATGGAAATTTTTCAAAACATTTTTAATATTTTAACTTAATCACTTTTTTTAACTCAACTTTAACTCAACTCCACTATCATCAATATTATTAATATAATTAAATAATATCAATCAATCATTCATACACACCACGTCAACCTTAATTCACTATTCATCCACTCACATATTTTAACTAACCATCATGTCAATCATCTCTCTCCTACTTTTACATCAAATCAATTTTTATTATTTTATTTTAAATATTATTTTAATATATCTACTAACAACTAACCATACCACGTTTTTCAAAATTAACCAAACCAAACCAAAAAAATCCAAACAAAATCAAAAATTTTCATAAACAAACATGCTTGTTTTGCAAGATATTATATATTTGGTCCTCTTTGTTTAAAAATATTTTATCTTTTTTATTGAGCATTCTAAATTACCAGTATAACTGGTTATAGTCGAAATTTCCAATCACCAGGACATTACATATTAATGGATGTATTCAATTGGAATTTTTAATGATATGTTGGGACTTTCTAAGATTTTGAGATTTTGGATAATTATTTGAAATCTTAAGTTGTGGTGGGATTTGAAGTGAGATTTGGTATAAGGTTTTGTTTTTAGAAATCCCACAAAATCTTAAAAAGTCTTAGCAAATCATAGTCTCAAGTCAATTAAATACCTCATTATTTTTTAAGACTTTTTAAAATTTCAAATTCTCAATTGAATATCCTCAGACTTTTTAAAGTCTTGAAAAGTCTATATTGAATACCATGGGATTTTTAAAGTTTAAAAAGACCTTAAAAATCTCAACTGAATGCACTCCCTAAGGTAATACATTATAGCGGCACAAAACTTAATAAACATGACTTATAACAAAATTGCAAAATTATGAGTATACAAAATCAGTTCATTACATCACTTTTGTTACATGCAACATTTTTAATTATTTTTTTTTCTTTTTTAATTTATATTTTAGTTAATGTTGTACATAAAAAAACCACATGTTCTGGTCGGCCTATTAAGCCAAAAAGTACAAAAATTAAGCCTAACCCGTGACGCTGGTCGCGAGGTGTGGAGCGGCGCTGGGCAGGGGTTAGGCCGCGGCGTGAGGCCTCCGCGAGCATGGCGCTGGAGTGCGGGTAGCAGGCTTCCGCGGCGTGACGCACTGGCACGATGTGGCGCTGGCAGACTGCTGCGGCACAGAGAGTACTGCGCGCGTGGCTGAGAAGCCTGGAGGCTCTGCGGGGGCGTGATGCAAGGCGCGGCGTGCGACGTGGCGCGGAGTGGTGTGCGGTGCCACGGCGCGATGCCTGGAACCTGGGAGCCTCAGTCGGGGTTGTGGCGTGTGGCAGGCCTGGGCTGGTGGCTTCTGTGCACGACTTCACGTCTCGGGCTCGTTTGGACTCGTCCGAACTAGGAATTGAGTTCCGTTTTTTCTTGCTCGTCGGCAACGAAGCCCTCTAATTAATTATGCTTGCACGGTCAATTTTCGCCCAAAATCCGGTCCGCCCGAAGCTTCCGACCTACACACAATAAACGAAGAAAAACAAAAAAAACACACGAAAAACACATAGAAAACCAAAATAAAGCAAACACTCAATAAACTACAAAATCGAATAAAAACCAACGAAAAGACCTAAAACGGGGGAAAAAGAAAGACAAAACAATGACGAAAAATGCAACAAAAATGGGACAAACAAAGTCCAAAGGCCACATCCATTCACGTCAAGAGCCACAAATCGACGACACACGTCCTCTTGTGTCCGAAAAGACACACCTCTCTGAGGAGGCTCTTTCTCCTTATTTAATGTTCTAAGAAGTAAATACTCCCTAGCACGTCCCATCTCGTGCCAGTGCAACTTACACCGTCCTTCCAAAGATATGACGACCACGTACCGATATCGGCACACAATTTGACATCAACAAAACAACTTCTCAGGCGTATAACGATCGAGTGATCTCCTATACACCTAAAACTTATGAACCTCCTTTTGTATATAAAAAATCACAAGTTCTCTGGTCCGCCCATTAAGCCAAGAAGTATAGATTAGGGTTAAAGTGTCAAAACGTAAGAAGATAAGGGCATGAAATTATTTCCTACTAAAATAATTAGGGTTGGTATTTTTTGACTGAAAACCGAACCGACGAGAAAACAAACCGAACTGAACCGACTCACGTGTAACGATAACCGATGATTGATTACCCAATACTTATCGATTTGGTATCGATTCCGAACTCATTAGGATTTAGTTTTACCGAACCGAACCGATAATATATTAAAAAAAAAATAGATGTTAGATAATAGATAGATTATTAATTTATTAGGCATTAATAAAAGTTATATTAGGTAAAAAATAATATATTAAGCTAATAAAATGTCTTAATTAAATTACTTGACAGATTGAATTTAGAGCTTGGAGCCTGGGAATTAAATCAGAAATCAGAAGTTAGGCCCGTTCTCCAGTTCTCCTTTACCTTACTCTCTTTCCCGTTCTCCTTCACCTTCACGCGAATAAATCAGAATTGATTGAGCCTCTGCCTTGACGCGAGTTCACCGTTCATCTCACTTTCGCCTCGCTTCTCTCACTCGTTCGAGTTGCGATAGGGCTGGTGTGTATTTTATTTATGCTTCAAATTGATTTTTCTAATTCTTGTAATGCTTTGTTTAGTTGAATTAGTTATTTTTTGTGTGTAGAAAATGTGATGTGAGGCAATTTATAAATGGTTATGCTTGAATTTTGATTCATACGGGCAAATTTTATGTTGAAGAATTATGTGATTGTTAGTGGTAGGTTTGGTTGTTTGACAGTGTAATATTTCTGCAATTTAGAAATATTACACTGTCAAACAAAAGTTTGACAGTGTAATATAACTTATATAGTTATATTATCTCCCTTTTCTTTTTCTCATATGAACTAAAGCAGTGGAATACATGTATCTAAGGACTGATATGTTTTAGTTTTCCATCATTATTTAGCTGATTGGTATTCACATTTGTAATTTGTTATCATGTTAAGCCTGTTAAACGTGTCATTGATTTTGGAAGTTGGATACTTGGATTTTGTTATCCTGTTAAGCTTATATTGTTATTCACTAATTTGTTATTTGTTAAGCCTTAAGCCTGTTATTTGAATATGGTGTGCCTGCTGCTTCTTCTTCTTCTAACATCGGTTTTTTTTGGTTCTTATCGGTTTAAACCGAAACCGAACCGCCTTATCGGTAACCGAAAAATGACATCGTCATCTTGGTAGAGAGATTGAGAGAGTATGAACTGCACATGGAGCCTATTCCAGCTACGGCAGACGTCCACGTCGACTTCTTCTCTTCTCTTCAGAAGCTACAATATTCCTAAAGGTACTGTTTTTCCAATTTCTACTTCGGCTGTATACATAGTATTCCTGCTCTTCTTCTTTTTCTTCCCATATAAATATACCCTCTGGTGGATTTTATAGGTGCAAAACTTGTCCCTCAGAAGTTTATCCACCCAACTTTGTGCTTCTGCCAGCAAATGCAGACGACGGCATATGAAATTGTCAATGGAAGCTACGTTCCTGCCGGTGATACTAATCAATCGAGTAGAACAATTAAGGTACTAATTTTATTTTATTCTGATTAGGATTTTCATTTATGTTTATTTTCGGTTGTGTCTGTGAAATTCGTGTCCTGACAAAACGTGATTTTTGTTGTTTGGTTTTCAGGATAAAGTTGCTAAAAAGCCGCTCGAAGCTGTTGGTGCATTTCAGAAGCTTCCAATGGTGATGCCATCGGTTGATATTCTGTACTCAGCATTGAGGAAAGCGAAGAGGGTCTCAGCTACAAAAGGTAATTGATTAGACTTACGAGAGCCCGCCTGTCTCTTAACTTCAAGCACTTGTTGAAAAGTTGTTTGATTTTAATATGAATGTTTGATAGGTATTGCGAATGCTGCAAAGCGTGAAAGAAACAAAGGCGCCAAACAACTTGATGCATTGATGAAAGTAAATTCTCAAACATATCCTTGAAAATTAAAATGCTTCTGTCTCTCGGGGGGAAGAAAGAAACTGAGTTTTTTGGTGTTCTTCCCGTCGTTATTAACTTCAGGAACTTGCAGTTCCCTTGAGGACGTACAAGGAGAATTTCCCAGAAAAAAGGGATTTGCACCCTTACGAACGGTCTCTAATCGAATTGACTCTTGGAGATGGGAACTACGAGGAGGTAAATGTTTAGGCTTCAACAATCTTTCCCTTTGTTATCTTGGATTACGGGGGTTATTTTCTTCTGTAGTGAACTGCAGTGAATGTGGCGCTAGTCCATTTGCAACCAACCTTCATATTTCCATCTTGCTGACCGATCATTTTCCATTATGTTTTACATTTTTTTTGTTCCCTTCCTGTTGACCTCTGACATGGGTCATAAAGAACTCTAACTTCTTCCATGTCATAGTACATATTTACGTTTGTCCTTGTTTTAAATCTTAATATCCTTCTTGATTGACAGGTCTTGGGAAAAGTTGATACTTTGCGGAAGAAGCTAGTGTCAGTAGGAAAAGAACATGCTTCCTTTTGTGCCAAGGTTGCAAATTGGTTTTTATTATTATATGCCTATGCATCTGTAATATGTTCGCTTAATCCAGATTTGCTACTTATTAGGTTAAGGTCGTACTGAAATTCTTGGTTGTGAAGTCACTGTCCAATTACATAAGAAACCACTCACTCTATGGAACTGTGTAATTGTTGTCTGGTTGAAACTTCATGAAAACCGTAGTAATTTCACCACATCTCCACTTTATCTCGCATTCCCTCCCAGGTATCCATTGATTAAGTTGTACTTGTTGCAAAAACTGTGTTTTTCACCATACTGCCAGGAATTCTCGAGACTTGTTCTTATAAAAGACCTGATATACTATGTTGAGAAGTAGAAAATGCTTGTATTATGGTCATTCTGTATTGTCTATGACATTGCTATGTCGAAGATGTGAACAGACGTGTTAAACGCAGAAAATTATTCACTTCATCTGAGAGCTTCTTAGAGGTTAAGCAAGGAATAAGTCATTTTTAGGGGCTTCTTGGAGTGTTTATCTTTCAGTGGCAGATATATGTAAGAAAAGTCTTTGGTGTTTATTGGATTTTTTTCTGTTAGAGCAATTATATTTGGTGAAAAGATGGGTCAAGGGACCATAAACTCTTCCATTCCTTGTGAACAGAGGAAAGAACATTAATTTTAGGGTGACCTATACTCGAATCCTCCTCAGATTGTAATTTGTAATAAAAAATCATACTGGTTGGTGTGTATTGCACCGGTGTGTATTGCACTGGTAAACGTAACCAACAAGTCAGCTGAAGAGAATATGTTTATATGACTACTGGATCAATAGTATAAGTTAACAATTATATTAAATATTATTTTACGTTCATCTGCTTAAGAAATTGTTCACAATTAGTCATATTTTTTAATTGACTTCTGTAACATTATACATGTGATATAAACTTGCTGATGCGAGAATATATTTGCAATTCTTGGCAGTCACACACGAAGCGTGAAGCTGAGGAGCGACTGAGTGAGGTTAGTACTTTCGCGAGCACATTCCTTTCTATGGGATTTCCACTTCATCTTATAAGTGCTCATGCCTGCAGGGAATGAAGAAAATTGAAGAAATTTTTAATAATGAAGGGAAAGCTGTAGATGAACTTCTGCATATTGCCAAGGTAACCTCACTTGTGTGAAATTAATGAACTAATAGAAGTACATACTGTATTCTTTGTACGAGTGTTGTGTACTATACACCAAGATATGTTGTTAACTTGTTAAAGACATTCCGTATTTTTCATTGTTCAGTTCATAAAAAGTTGTGACCAGGTAACTTTATTGGCTTGCGAAGAATGTCCGATATGCTAATTTATTATGGGTTACTTGGGTAAATTATTGAACAATCAATGCTTGCAACTTCTACACTGTTGACTCTAGCTGCTCAGAATAGGAGCTGAACTACGATTGGAATAAAATATAAAGAAAGACGGTGCTGATAATTGGGTGATCTTTTCTGGATTCTTTTTATCATTGTAGGTTCTTTTTAGCAGAGCTGATAAGTAATTGAATAGCTGACTGAAGATACATATGTAAATATTTCAAGTTTATGTTTAACAAGTTTGCATTGCAGACTTTACGTGCAATGCCAGTAGTTGATCTTCAAACACCCACTTTGTGTCTTATTGGGGCACCTAATGTAGGAAAGTCGTCTTTGGTACGTTTACTATCGACAGGAAAGCCCGAGGTATGTACCAGGATCGTTGGTTCCCATGCTTTATCCTTTCTTGAAATAGCAATTTTTTTATTTTTTTTTATTTATTTTTTTTATTATTATTATTTTTTTTCACATGGAATGACTAGAGAGATCTGGCCTGCCCTCTCTGTCTGAGGAGACTTTATTTATTTTTCTTTTCCAATCCCACCCGAAATTGTTGATCGTAGAAAAAATTGTTAGGAAAATGGAAAATGAAATGGAACAAAAGGAGAAGAATCTAATGTCTTCATTTGAGGAATTGTGTTCGAGGCAACTAAGAAACTCCAGCACTCATTTTTTATATTTGTTGAATAGTTTGTCACGCTCACCTTAAAACTTGTTTCCAGTACAGTTGCATCAAATTATATGGCTGAAAACTACGTCTGTGTTGCCTATATATTATGACGACTTAGCTATAGAATTTCCTCATGTTTTCTTGACAACCACATGCTGCTCTGTTTTTGAAAGCTCTGAAAAACTGATAGTTATAAGCCAGCAAACTGCACTGATTCTGCTGCTCTAATGATGTCTCAGGTTTGTAATTATCCTTTCACGACAAGAGGAATTCTGATGGGTCACATGACTTTGAGCTGCCAGAATTTCCAGGTTCATATTATTTCGGAGATTTATTTTGATGCAATGTCTGTCCACTATTGTTAATATCTTAAAGCTACAGCATTTGTCTTCAGGTGACAGATACACCTGGTCTACTAAGAAGACATGATGGTGAGTTACTTCCCATTGCTATTCCACCTTTGTACTTTAGTGAATTAAGTACTTAAGTACATAGAACTTTCCATTTCACGGAGTGGACATGCATGTAGCACTTTTAATATCTGAGTGGGGATAAATGACATTAATTATCTGTGTGCACTCATTTTGTTCTATGGTTGATTATACCTTCATTTATTTTTAAAATCTTGCAGAGAATAGGAATAATTTAGAAAAGTTGACGCTTGCTGTCCTCTCCCATTTGCCAACTGCTGTTCTCTATGTTCATGACCTCTCTGGAGAATGTGGGACCTCCCCTTCTGATCAGGTAATTAATCTCTGTGTCTTTTTGGACTAGTATCAGATTCAGTTTGTGGATACATACCATTTAAATTTGTAATGTGATTATAGTTGTATGTTTATTATTTATCAAGTAAAGTGTGTCTTTGCTGTTCTTTCTGTTAATTTCATCCTTTAACTTATGTTCGCGACTTGCGTGCATCACATCAAACTGGAACAATATACATAAGAAATGCTTAGTACTGTTGTCAAACTCTATGAAATAGCAGTACGGGGCTGAAAAAAAATGTGTAGTTGATATACTTAGTACTCTTGTCACAGTTTTGTCCAAATGTTTTTCAATATTCTGTTTGAGCAAGAAAGCGTACAGCTTTTTATTAATCGAAAGAAAATAATTGAATATGTATAATCTTGAGTCTGCATTTCTTTTTAAAATTTTTGGGATAAAGAAGAAATTAAATAAATCACATTTTGTGGTGCATGTTCCCTACTGAAACTCTTTTACTTCAAAGACCATGAGTTGCCCAAGCTTGTTGTCTGGTTTCATTCCCTTCATGGTAATAATATATTAATTCTTTTATTGGATTGAACAGTTCATCATTTACAACGAAATAAAAGAGAGGTTTGGGGACCATCTATGGCTTGATGTAGTGTCTAAATGTGATCTGATAAATGATTCCCCAGTAGTCTTCGCCACAGAAGATAGTAAAGCTGATAATGTTGAGCTGGTAAAGTATCGTATGGTGGGACCTGATGGGGCAATACGTGTATCTGTCAAGGATGAATTGGGTATTCGTGAGGTGCGTATTTGGGCTAATCATGAAATCATTTTAAAAGGGAATATTGCACTTTTTATTATGTTAAGGGTCAATGAATTTATCTTCCTTTATTATTTTTTTTTTAAAAAAAAAAGATGCCCCAACTGGTAACAGCCAAAAGGATTGATAATGCTGGTTTTTGACTGTCTAATTTTGTCAAGTACATATACACAAATTTACTTGCGAATGGAGAATGTGATGCATTAGTTGATTTCACGTATTCTTGCATTTATGAAAGGGAGAAGTCTAATGATATTACTGTATATGCATCCTTCTCTCGTTTCATCGGATGGAATAAGCTGTTTAATTTAAAACCCATTTATAGAAATTCTCATTTTACCTGCTATATATGTGAAATGCAGTTGAAGAATAGAGTGCACGAGCTACTAGTTACTCAATCTGCAAAGCTAAAAATATCAGAGAGCAAAGTCCTTGAAGATCCCAAATGAACAGATTCTCCTGTGAACCAGGAAATTTTACCACTGTGCTAAGAAGTTACTCAACACAGTTGTGGTAAATTGTTGATAATGAGATAGGGCCTGCTAACATCTGTATGCAGAGACTGGATATGACTTGGTCTTCTGACTTGGCTTGGTTAAGTTAAAATCCATGAAAGGGCCAAGACTTTTGAGATGAGGGTATTTGGAGGAACATGCGAGGGACTTTTGAGTGAGGCATACATTTGCACTCAGTTGTTGTGAGCCCCTTTATTTGTTTTCACTCAGTTCGTTCTTTTCTTTTCTTTTTTACCCTATTTTAATAGTTTTGCATCTCAAATGTAATTATTATATTGTTAATTTTGCCATTAAGAGTTGGGATTTCAGCATTTGATGAATAGATCCAGTCTTGGTTGATTTATCAGAGGCTGTTACCAAAGTAGAAACTAGATCCAGTCTCCTATTTTCTGTCAGCACTTGAAAATAGCTTTAGGACAAAAGGCATGCCTGTTAAGCTGGAAATGAACTGTATTTCTCAAAGCTACATGAAGAAAAAATGGAAGATTATTCTCCACAAAATTATGGATGATCCTTTCCAATTGTAAAGGATTTACAAATATGTACCATGTACAGATCCAAGTCGAACTACCAATCTCCCATATGAATTCAAATCTACATTTGTCAGGTAAAAGGCATACCCATCCACTCCAGTTACATATGGAATTTGCACTACAAGAAAAACTCACTGTATTTGCAGAAAAGACGTATGGCATTCTTATGCATTCTTAAGGAATACGTCTACTGGATAAAGGACGTCATCTTAGATTTTTAAACATTAAATCGTTAATTTGGTTGATTCCAATATCGGATATAGGCTCAATGGGCCGTTCGTCATCGTCTCCTGAAGTGATTTCACTCACTGGCTCCCTACTGAATTCATCTGCATAGATACAACACAAGTTCAAAACATGAATATATTTTCAGAGGCCATATGATTCCAAGTAATTTTTAGAAAGCGAATTTTACCAAACATCACATTCAAGGAGGTTGAAGGAGGGGTAGCCATGAAGTTCAAGCCAATATAAAACACAATAGCCAATACGATTGTTACCATTACATAGCAAGGCACAGCTAAAGCCCAATACCTGGAGGAAAAAAAAAAAAAAAAGTAGCACCAATAAGACTGCATTACTGAGGGGGCAATCAAAGCAACTGAAGTATACCTATTGACTAGTTAACATCAAACGATTCATGTCATGAGGTTTTGTAATCTGATATACGACACACCGGTATTTTGAATTCTGAAAATCTGTTCTATTATGTTGATGGAGCTGAGTAGCTAACATTTGCCATGTTCTATCATAAATCTTCCAGAAGCAAAATGTAGAAAAAAGTAGAAAAGATCCATTTCAGGAATAAAACTTGTTTTGAAGTAACTAAAACTTGCTGATAACGTCGAGTTCGTTGGCATACTCTCTCAATAATGACAGGGACAAAGAGTATTACACTGACCTGCTAGGGTAGTAATAGATGCCTATGGAATGCAACCAAGGATCCGGAACATATGCCCATACAAGAAAAACAACTGCCAAAGGATAAAAAATATTGGCCAAGTTTAGATTAACACTTTTATCTTCACGCTTGAATCTGTTATAAAAAACGTAATTAAAAATGATTAAAAAATACGAAGCTCATCAGTTAGTTGAATACAAGGCTGTAGATAGGATGTTCATCTTCTATATACTAATGAAGTAACCCTTATTTTCCTCCTTAGTTAAAGCACAATTCAAAACCTTTCTTTAATAATAGATCAACCGGTCAAGATCATCTATTGATATGCTAATCAAATATTCGAATTGCACTAAAATTATGTTCACTATCTCTACGTCTTAGAATAAAAGCACGTGAAATCAATCATCCCAAACACTTGACATGAATTCAATCATCATTTCCCAAATTTCAGAGGAAAACGCATCCAAGACGGAAATTGGGAGAACAGTAGTGAAAATTATGCAAGAAGATCACATAAATGTAGCTGCACGGGTTAGCATCTGATCGAGGTGCATAAAGAAACAACGATAAAAAAAAAAAAAAAAANNAAAAAAAAAAAAAAAAAAAAAAAAGGGGCTAACCTGTGGAGACAACGGTTGTAATGGAGCCGACAAAGCCATAGACCTCGGAGGGCTTGGGGCCGTGCTCGCCGGAGACGCCGAATCCCGGGCGGCCATCGGCGTCGGGAAAAGACACGCTGGCTCTCCGATTCTTGGAGAAGCTCAGTATTCTTCGCGGGCTGTTTACGGAACATCGTTCTTCCATTCTGAAACCTAATTCTTCTCTCACTTGTGTGGGATTAAGAGTTTTGTAATCACCAATCGGACATTTTCGAGCGAATCAGCAATGAGATTGATTCACAACATAAAATCGCCATCTTTAGATAGAATTCTTCAGAAGAGCGATTTTGAGAAAAGAGAGAAGGTTCATACTTCGTAGTCTGGTACATACTCCTAAATCCCAATGGTCATAATAATGGGTCCGGGGGTTGCTGTGAGTCACTTACAGCAGCCCAGCAGTTACACTATAACTCCCCAACAGTTACACTATAATCCTTGGATTAAAATACATTCAAGGGTTAGAAATCATCTTAAATAAAAAGAGTCACTTACAGCAGTCCCAGTAGTTAGTTATACTATAACCCTTGGATTAAAATACATCCAAGGGCCTGGGCGTGTCTCGTTTAAAGGAGATTGGGATTCTCTTCTCATGAGTTTAATGATGTATATATAGAGCTACAGTAGGGACCCTTAGGAGATTAGGAAAAGGACTCCTTAATTAATGGAGATTAGGAAAAGGGCTCCTTAATTAATTAGACTAACTATGGGCCAAGCCCACTCCTCTAATTAATTAAATAATATTAATGGGCCACCAACATTATATTATTGCACTCCTTTTTCCTAGCTCAAATTACATTTGAGACTCCAATAATAATTACTCGATTTACCTCCCCACGTTTAAGATATAATGTCCATTAATTAATTCGATTACTGACAATCAAGAATTAATTAATTTATTATTATTTCACCGAAGCTAGCGCTCGTTCATCACATTCTTATTATGCCGGAATTTAATCCACCTGCAGGGTTTAGCATAACAATCCTTCATGAACTCACTCCGGGGACATCATCAAACTAACGCACATGGTGACCGTAAATATCCTAACAGCACATCCTATATATAATAATATTACCCAAAACAGTAGGAATATTAATCCAGCGAACTAAACCTCACCCATGTGAATCAAAGTAATATATATTATATATATCTGCCTGTTTAATATCTTACGGGTTAAGAGAACGCAGTAATTAACCCAGGCCTAGTTCATTTACGACGATCAGTATAAAATAAACTTCTCCTCTCTGGGATCCTGTTCAATACATAAATGTACTAGTGCAACTAATCAGTCAAGACAAAATGTACAGTTGACACTACAACCGTTCGGATGGAGTGTTCATGTCCATCTAGATTGTGAACAACTATTCTTGTTCGCAAGTGACTGACAGAGTGATCTTCGGTTCGCCCGATGACGACCCATCCTATCTAAGTGCAGAACAACAGAACGTAGAACTTGTTTAATCTAACATGATTCTCATTCATAAAGGGTAAATGTGTAATAACATGCAAAGCCAAGCTTTCAGTATATAATACTAACAAGGGTCACGTGGCCTAACAGAATTGGGCAGTTTGGGCACATCGAACTATTTGGGCAGTACGAACGGGTAGTTCGGGCAGCCTACTCAGGCAATCTTGGGCAACATGGTATCACCTCCATATATGAAGGAGTGAGGTATGTTAATTATCACATTACATTCTCCATTATTCCATACACTTACTGCGCTACAAGTGCTAACTTAAGCATCAGAAGCTCTTCATCGGAAAATCCATCTGGTGTGAAAGTTTTTGCAGGTCTAAAGGCATTCAATCGGCGAGGAGGTCAAGAGCAGGCCGAATCCAGCCAGTCGGAGGTCTTTTACATACCATGATTAATATTTTGAGTAATGGATTGTACAAACTTCGAAAAAAGTTTCCCATCTCCTCAAGATACTTTTTATATTTAATCTACATTGAGAACCTAAAACATCTATGTAAAATACAAATAGGCCGACCACCTTTTTCCTTGAAAAACACCGAGTTAGGAGCTTGTTGAAAAAAAAAAGTTCGTTGGAGAGGGCCGTCGTCTTTCGTCGGAGTCTGTCCCGTCTTTTGCCGGAGCTCTTTCCACCAGACATCCATCGAAATTCTTATTGTCGTCAGAGAACAATAGAATGTAACCAATGAGAAGAAGGGGAAGGGAAAAGGAAAGAGTCTACGGGAGAGGGGGAGTGTGGAAGATGAGAGAAAAGAAAATTTTAAAAAAGAAGTTGTGTTGAAGAAGAGAAGAAGAACAATAATAAAAAATTGGTAGTGGGAGTTGATGTGATATTTTAATAGATTTATATTTTTTTAAATGTTAGGGAGTTAAGTGGAACAAAATTATTGTTTTGAAGAGTACATATAGAAAAAAAGTACTAGATGAGAATTTGAAAAGAAGTTTGGGAATTTAGTGAAAAAATCCCTTTCATTTTGCTGATATTTAGATAACGTAAGATATCTCAGAGTATTACTGTTTAATAATAACTAGTACGACACCCGTGTACTATACGGGTTGTTTGAAAAAAAAATATATAAAACATAAAATAATAGAAAAAACACATGAGCTATTTCAATGTATTTTGTATAGATATTCTAAAAAGATTTAAATAATTTATTTACCATGGTGCTAATCAAAATTTATTTTATTTTTATTTCAACTCTTTAAAATATATTAGAAAGATCATTTAATATTCTATATCTATTTCAATGTATTTTCATAGATATTATTAAAAGATTTAAAAAATTTATTTACCATGGTTGAATTGAAAATATATAATATGCAAGTGGCTATATATTTTTTTGTAAAATTATAGTATTTTTTTTAATTTAAACTATATAAAAAAGTTATTGTTTACATTAATTATATAAATAAAATAATATGTAAAGCTAATTTTTTTATTTTGGTTTACACGACATATAAGATAAGAATCCTAATGCTATATATTTTTTGTCAAATTATAATATTTTTTTTAATTTAAACTATATAAAAAAGTTATTGTTACATTAATTATATAAATAAAATAATATGTAAAGCTAAATTTTTTATTTTGGTTTAAACGACATATAAGATAAGAATCCTAATATGCTGGCTATATATTTTTTGTAAAATTATAGTATTTTTTTGTTAATAAATTTATTTTGGTGTTTGAAGATTTACACTGTATATAAGAAATTAAGTATTTTATTTTAAATAATTAGAGAATGTATCCGAACCAAAAATTAAGTATTTTATTTTAAATAATTAGAGAATGTATCCGAACCAAAAGCCGAAATATATAAGATTGTCAAGTAAACTTCCGAAGCGTGCGAGGCAACCATTTAGGCTCAGCGCGCTTTCAAATTATATCAAGAGGGGATGATGATAATAATAATAATAATAATAATAATAATAATAATAATAATTTTAGATACATGTGTTGTGTGCGCAAATTCATGGAAGGCGATTGGTGGAGAAAGATGCATGAAACACAGGCTAATGCTATTTGTTTTCTGCCATCCAATGTGGCGCATAAGCCCAGACCACGCGCTGCCCTACTCATGAATTTTACAATATTACACAAATCTGATTCTTTTAAATGTTTTAGTGAGCAAATACTTTTCAAGTTTTATATTTCTTTTATCTCTTTTTTTCCAATCACTTTTTTTGAAGTTAGACCCTTTTTAATCAACGAGTTTGACAATTTTTGGTTAGTTCAATAAATATATTTTTTATAAATATAATTGATTTATGATATATTATTATTCAATAATATAAGAAAAAATATAACATATGATTTTTCGATCATGATAAAACTCTTAATATAGTTAAGATTTAAAAATATGAATTTTTATATAAATTACTATTGCTCAATTTGAAATTGGCTTGTTAATATGACTTAAAAAAAACAGAGCTCAACTCATTTAGTTAACAAAACTCTGCATTTAGTTAACAAACTCCGAGTCTTGGACACTTGCGTGGGTTTGGTTTAAACTCAACATGTATCCATTTTTTTGAATCAATACAATCTTCCTTTAGCAATTACACAATATTCCAATTGAAATGCATTACGTCACGTACCATTTTATTCCCAAGAATTTGCTTTCCTCGGATCACATCAAAGAACAAATCAAAGAATTCTGTCCGTCTAAATTAAAAATTAATCACAATAATAAATAAATTCTCATTCATCAATAATATTTTTTTAAATAAAAGAAACAAGTGATATAATAGTAATATTAAGTGAGAAAAAAAAACCAACACAATAACACCAGATAGGCAGATACACCACCAGTATTACATAATACATCATAGTCGAAACAATTGAAAGAAAAAAAAAGAAATAAAAATTCCTTCAAAATATTTCTAAAAGTAACTTTATCAATTAATTTATTGATTATTATTATTATCATCTTCTTCGTCATCATCAGAAATCCTTGAGCAGCTTCCTGACCTGCTCGAGCGTGACGAACAGCACCACCGTGAAAGGCCCCTGCCTGGAGATCGTCGGAATAAACCCCTTGTACAGCGCCCTCAACCCCTCCGCCCTCACTGTCTTCACCGCGCAGTCCACCGCCCCGGCGTACGGTGGCGCCTCCCCGGCCTCCACCCTCATGTTCATCACCCGCGTTTTTATCACGTCCACCGGATTCGACGCCACCGCCGCCACAAACCCCGCCGCGAAGCTCGCCGCCACGTGGGTTCCCAGCCCGTCCGCCATCAGGCCCCTTCCTAGGATCATCTCCTTGAACTGGTCGTACGACGCCAGCTGTGACGCCGTCACCAGCATAGCCCTGTTCACAGTCAGCGACGACCCCCGCCAAAGGCTCGCCACCCCTTCGTCCCGGCTCATCCGCCGGATCGCGTCCACCACGCTCCGGTAGTTCCGCCGCTGCGCCTCCGGGAGGCGGCCGTCCGCCTGCATCCGGACCATCGCCACGTCCGCCGGGTTCCCGACGGCGGCGCCGATCCCACCGGCGATTAGGCCGGCGACGATCTTCCGCGACAGGGGCATGGTGCCGGCGGCAGGATCCGTCCATTTCGTCTTGAGGACGTCGTAGAGGCCCATCCGGGTGGTGGAGTAGAGCGTCTGGCGGAGCACGGTGGCGGAGACGCCGGAGAAGAGGGCGGCGGCGCCGTCCTGCCGCACGATCCGGAGCCCGACGGAGACGAGGCCGATCCTCGGGGGTGGGACGTGAACGTTGTGGTGGAGGGCTGCGGCGGGATGCTGGAAGGCGAGGGCCGGACGGAGGTTGTGGAGCGGCGGCGGCGCTGCGGCCTCGCCCTGGAGTTGCATCCGGACCTTGATGAGATCGAGCGGGTGGGTGCTGCAGCCGGCGACGATTGAGGCGATGCCGCCCTCGACAAATCCCTTGACACCCATAATCGATTGGCGGAGGGGCGGCGGTGAGGAAAATGGCGCTCGAGATTAGAGTTTTGGGGGAAAAGAAATTGCCAAATAAAAAAAGGGAAAACCCTAGAAAGGAGAAATTGGGGGAAAATAAAAATAAGAGGAATTAGGAGGACCAATTGGAATTAGAGTTCATCTCACTTGAGACGAGGAGATGGGAGTGGAGGCCGAAAGCTATGGAGGAAAAGTGGGGGACGTTGGCCCTCTGAGACATATAATTCTCTCTCACACACTACACACAATATTAGGTGCTGTTTGCTTGTAAGTGATGGAGGCGAATGTTATTTACGTATTTATAGGGTAGAAAAAGAAAAAAGGGACTCAAAACGAAATATAATTAATAGTAGTATAATATTATTTTCTTACTCCTTTTTTATGTTTTTGTTTTCCTCACGCGGTGTGTACAGAGGAAAAACGGCGGAAAAAGGGAAATAAATAAAACATTTTCTTTTTTGAACTTTTGATTTGTTTGTAATATGGAAAGGTGATGTTCAGCGTAGGATGGCATGGTTACGCGTTTAGGGTTTTTAAGGGAGGTGGGGCCCAGATGCTGAATTTTCATGCTATTATTTATTGGTAATCATGCCAACTCATCTAACTTGTAGGGATGTTGAAGTTTTTGGGGGATGAACGGCGACTTGGCTTTGAAGTTTACATTTTACTTTTACCTGACTATATTAATAAATTTAATCACTGTTTTCAAACGCTGATTACTAATAGGTATGATTGTAAAAGAACCAGATTGAAGGTAATATATTCAACTATTCGATTTGAATACATGAAATTATTCAACTATTCGTATTTGTATTCAATTCAATATCGAATTTAATTTGTGATTCGTATTCGATTCGATTAAGATAATCGAATAAATTCGATTCGATTTAAAATTTATTTTAAAAAATTATTTATAAATATATTTATATATTGTTAAACATATATTTTTAAATATAAATATAATTTTTGTATTTTATATTTATATTTAATATTTATAAATATAATTAATATAAAATATTGTACATTGAAACACAAGATTTAGGAACCCTAGATGCGGATTGTCGGTGACCCGACCGTAATCAACCATCGCACAACACTAGCCTAGGACGAGAAGGCCAACATTGTCCTGTTATTAGACGACTTTCGGCGACACAACAAACATGGTGACGATTCAAACTTCACCTTGTTAATGATATTCTTGCCTGTTACAATTGAAATGTACAATTTCAAAAGTATATTTTCTTGAAGTTTGTTGTCGTTAATTTGTACAGTTAAAAGTATGATTTCAAACACCAGTTATCCTTTTTTTTTGGGTGTGATGGAGGTGTTCTGCGCATAACTTTATTTTGGACTAAAGGGAAGTCAACATGAAATAGCATTCAAAAATTCTTACACTTCAAGAGTCGAGTGGTTATATATTTTTCAATTTATTTGCATCATATTTGCTGTAGATTATGATGGACATTGAAAGGGAGGATTGAATAAGGTATTGCTTGTAGAAGAAACTCTTAAATTATTGAAGATTATTTTCGCTTTCACCTATGTTTACAAAAAGTATTTTGGTGAGTGTAAGAGTCGTAGCCTCAGTAGTAGAAGTTACCAACCTATAAATCGACTGGCTGTCCAACTTTACGTTCAAATTGATCATATGACACAAGTTATGGGATTTAGTGATACAACTTGTATCGAACAATTTCGAATAGATAGAAAATGTAGTTGGTCTAGTAAGCACTAAATGATTTGGCCAAACAATAAAACAATGCGCTTAATGTGGTGCTTCATTTACATCCCATTATCACGGTACAACCGACTCCAACCAATGATGAATGCACTGATCGACAATGAAAATGGTTTAAGGTGAAAAATTATTGAAGTTTATAATTAATAAACTTTAAACCTTTTATCATTAGTATGTAAAGACCTCCGATTGGTTAAACACGGTTAGATCTCGAGCTCCTCCGTCACTTAAACTCCTTTGAACCTGCAGAACTCTCACACCGAATGGGTTTTTCGGTGAAGAGTCTCCGATGCTTAAGTTAGCACTTGTAGAAGATGAATTACAATATGTAAATGTATGTAGAGAGTAATGTAATTCAAGGAATACCTCACTCCCTTATATGGGGAGATGATACCTTGTTTCCCAAGCCTTCGCGCATGGGCTGCCCAGACTACCCTTTTGCCTGGACTGCTCAAACTGTCTGATTCTGTTAGGCCACGTGGTCATATCCACGTGGGGTTTAATCCCATAATATTCATTCTTATCATTTAGTCTTCTTCATTAGACAGTCTAACCGTACGACTGACCCCGATTACCTCAAGTAAAGTACCATTGAGGTCGAGTTTTGCCGTTACACCCATCTAGTCGATCCTTGGACCAGATGCTCCTTCAGATCAAACTTTAATCAGGCCAACCAAGGACCCTAATTCAATCAGCTGGTATCTTCTATGACCTTAACATCTCATTTGACTTGGGGCACCTTCGACATGTGAAGTCCCATTCTCCGTTCGACCTGATGACTGGCCTAGTTCGGTTAGGTGGCTTCCTCGATATAGTCGACCTGGTACGGTTATCCCATATCATCTGGTCCCCCTACTCTGGTCGAGTTATTTTAACTCGATCTAAGAGTAGGTAGCTGTAATCTTCGGGTCTACTTACCACATGCATCGACCTTGGCTCTCTTATTGTGCTTGCCTGCTTCTACTTTTTTGACTTATGACCCTTCCTCTGAATTTAAAATTAAAATTTTGAATTACTGACACCTCGACACGTCACTCTGACACCCATCCAATCGACATGCAACCCCTCGCAGTCTGTGCATGTCTTGTGCTCTGGCCTGAACTTTGTGGCATAGGTCCCATCAGGTCGATGCCCCACTGAGCAAATGGGATTGGGGTGTTCATCGTGGTCATTATCTCCACCGGCTGATGAATAAGTGGTCCATGCTGCTGGCACTGCAAGCATTTTTTCACCATGGTCACCGCGTCCGCCCTCATGGTCGGCTAGAGGTATCTAGCTCAACTTTGTTGTGGTTGCTACAACATCCTTTATGGATCTCCTTCAATACATACCTACCTTCTTCTTCAGTCACACACCTCAAATACGACCCTAAATATGACCTTTTATAAAGGATTTCACCCTGCTTGAAGAACCTTTTTACACACATTAAGTTCCATACTCTTAACTCCTGCAAGATGAGAGCCCTACAGTCTTCGACCTTAACAATCTTCGCCACATCGACCGCACTCCTCTCCGTATTCAGCAAAGTGACACTCTTGCTCTTATAATCGACCAGACTTTGGGTTAATTTTATAACAAGTCAGTTCGACCATTCTCGCCCCTCAAGATTTGAATCAGCTCAAATGAGTTAAACTTGTTATGCAAGATTTTGACCTCATCCACGTATTTCTGCAACTGATCCTCTTTCACCTTAAAACCTCTCTGCAACTGACCGGCCATGAGTTATGAATCAGAGTGGATTTGGACCTCTTTAGCTCTCCCCACCAGCGCCAACTGCAATTCCTTCAACAAAGCCTCATACTCAGCCTCATTATTCGATACCTTAAACCCTAATTTTACTGTAAATTCCAGACTGTCATCTTTGGGTGAAATCAACACGATCTCCAAGCCTGCACCCCCCTTGGAGACCGAGCCGTCAACAAATATTTGCCACATTTCACTTGCCTCAATCTCGATTCTAGTGCCTTCTTGAATAAAATTTGCTAGTAGAACTAGGCCTTGATCGCCCTCTGAGGCTCATAAAACACAGAATACTCACTTAGATCGATTTCCCATTTCATCATTCGATGATACAGAAGGTTGACCAAGTGGTCCCCTAGTGGCATGTTTGTCTGAACCTTCACTCTGTGAGTAAGAAAATATGGTCTTAGCTTTCTCATTGCTACGACCACAACCGACACACACTTCTCGATCTCCAAATACATCAACTTTGCTCCCTGTATGACACAATTGACATGATAGATCGGGTACTGCGTCATGCCTTCTTCCCTCAACAAGACTGAGCTCACCGTCGCTACACCAATTGAAACGTACAAAACCAAGTCTTCTCCATGCACCGACTTGACTAACAAGGGCAGATCAGCAAAAACGACATGCAGCTCCACGAACGCCTTCTATGCCTCCTCTGCCCACTTGAATTTTGAACTCTTTTTTAACGTCTTAAATAGTGGACTGCTCCTCTCGGCCACTTGAGAAATAAATATGCTCAGACCCACAATTCGACTAGTTAAAATTTGTACCTCTTTCACGCTCTTTGGTGGTCTCATCTCCAAAACAGCTTGAACATTTTCTAGCTAGATTCACCTCGATTTCTTTTTTGGTTACCATGTATCCCATAAACTTGCCAGACTTCACACAGAAAGAACACTTCGTCAGATTCAGCTTCATTCCATACTTCCTCAGCGTGGTCGACCTCCACTTCATACTCAACATTCGGTAATGATTAGTTAAAATTATGCGAGTACATGAATAGTGAACTTAAGTTGATGTGATGTATAAAAATGATTGATTAATATTATTTAATTATATTAATAATAATTTGTATAATGAGATTGTGTTAAAACTGAATTAAATTTTGAGTATATATTAAAATTTTTAATAAACAAACACACCCTAATTAGAAATTGACTCTAGCCTTTTAAGTACAAATTTGGAAATTGACTCTTGCCTTTTAAGTACAAATTTGGAAGATGAATAAATAAGAGCCACGGTCACTCGGCTCCCAATCCTATGTATTTCGTTTTTTATCTTTTTCTTAAATAAGTACAAATTTGGAAGATGAATAAATAAGAGCCACAGTCATATTTATTTTTTGTTTGAATTAAAAAGACTATCAATTCTAACTGATTTTATCTCTATAATTTATTCAAAAAATCATACTATATATATATATATTTATTTTTTTCAAATGTTTTGTGGGTATTTTTGTTAGGTGTACATGGATAATTTGAGTTAATAAAAG